TCAATTTTTAGTGTAAGGATTTTAGAAAAAAGTATCGTCTTATAGTTGGAAAAATACAGTATCTATTTCCTTCCTGTATTGATGTGCTTATTAATGGCTGTCTCCGTGTTTTTTAGATTTTTTTATCCTGCTTTTGTTATTTTTATAAATAACTCAAGGCGGCGAACATAGCTAATACTCCTTCCTCCTCCTATTTTCCCCACAACAACCACCCCGTGAGGTGGGCTGGGCTGAGGGAGAGGGACTGGCCCAAAGTCACCTGGCCTAAGCCTTTCATGCCTCAGGCGGGACTAGAACTCGCCGTCTCCCGCTTTCTAGCCTGGGGGCTTCACCACGAGACCAAACTGGCTCTCTCGCATTATATCTATTTGCTTTTAATTTGGGGATAAAAAGTACTGTTTTTATTGGCTTATTACACTTAAACTCATCTTCCTTTATGATGTTTTTGTCACTCCTTTCTCGCCATTTCTTCCTCCTCCTGGCTTAGTTACACTATGGCAAAACAGAATGAACCAGTCAGGGACCATTGATAGAAGTGAGGACAAAATTGATGCAGAAGCAGTTTTTGAAAGCAATATCAGAAAAAATAATCACCAAAAATAAGTGATTCAACATTACCTTGCATATTTATTTTTAAAAATGTAATTCCTTGCAATCTCTGATTTAAATGAATATTGATATCATGGACACATCTTGAATAGAATTGGGAGGGGCTGGGGGAGAGTTTTAGCAGAGCCTAACGTTATTTGATTCTGTTATGTCTAAAAGATAATCATTGGAAAAGATTTAACAAATAGTATCTTCCCTCTCCCACCATTGACACAGGGACCCAACAATTCCAGTTCTCAGTTGTGACAAAGCAGAAATTGGTTGGTTGCTTTCATCAGATGTAGCAAATTGAAGTCTGTACAAATGAAATTGAAAATGAAGGTTTGATGCAAAACAGGATTCACACTTGCTGTTCTCACCATTGCTTGGAATTTTGTCTGTGCCTAAGTGAGTTTTCTGTGTTAAATATCACAGTTACAGTTTCATTTTAACTAGATGAAAAAGATATTTCAGTACAACTTTGTAATGCAAGTTGAAATGCTTGGGATCAAAAATGTATCCTCTTCAGTGCAATTGTGAGAATCTTGGGGAAAGTAATCCATGAAGAACCATTTTCACTTTAGTCATTAATCATGAAGATTTGGCAAGTTTGCCTTATTCTTGTTGAGAAAAAAATGTACAGGACTCAAGCAAAAAGGGAAAGGCTTGTAACTGTCTGTCTCCCCCACCCCCTTTTTTTTAAACAGTATTCAGGGTTTCAGCAGACAGCAGACAAGTGCTTCATTTGTGGCCATCTCATAATGGAAATGGTAAGAGTCTCAGCTTCTGAAGGAAGGAGGCTGCTGGGTCGGGCTACTGTTGTTCTTTCTCTTCCCCATGCACACATGCATCAAGATTGTGGCTACATTTGCCTGACATGCTGAACAGGTTCACTAAGATGCCAGCAGCTGCATTTGCACGACCTGCTAAGCTTGATTAGTTTTAACCATAAATTTTTTGTAGTGTAACATGTTCTAAGAACTTGGCCTGTTCGCTTTACATTTCAGTATGTTGTGTGCAGCCAGAAAACAGATTGGTGCTGTAACCAAGTTCAGTCTGTTGTATGAACCCAGCCAGTCACAGGTGTTGTGTCTTAGAAAATTACTACTGTACTCTGAACTCCCCACAGGGCTCCTATCTGTGGCCCCAAGACATAGCTCCGGATGGTTCTAAAAGATGGTAGTAATCTTCCCCAGAAGCTTTAAGTCTCCAGCATCAGCTTTCTTAGACCGCAGTGCCTGAGTGCTGGATGGGGCAGTTACTCCAAGGAAGCACCACTGGGCCTTGGATGTGGCCCCCCACAGGAGGATTTTTGCCTGATGATACTGCATAAAATCTACCAGACGTGGACCAGTTTGGTCCTCCATGGACAAAGAAAATTTTACCATCAAGGGAAACCCTGATGGCAATATATTGATAAAAATATTTTTACTTCTACATCAAATTTGTTGTGTATTTTTGTTTCTTCAAGAGATAGCAGGAAAGCATTCTAGATAGTGTTGGGGTTGTCTCTCTCATTTGGAAAGAAGATGGGGCCTTCTCACAGAGCAGTTCCTTTTTGGACAGACCTTCCTGATTCCTGCAAAGAATGGGCATCTTCCCAAACATTCGGCTTCATACGGGGTTGGCCACATGGATTGTGACTCAGCAAATATTGAAAGACCAGGTCATTTCACCATAGCATTATTAAATCAAGATATAAAAACAGTTATGATATTTCTAGCTGGAAGCATTAGCTTTATCATATCTATATCTATCTATCTGTGGATCAGTCTGGCTTTGTGCCTAGAAGATACACATTTAATGAATTCTCACTACTGTTCGCTCTTGCCAATCTGTTAAATCCCCATATGTCTTTAGACATTTATAAAAAGTTTGTTAGTTTGGGGTGAAATACTCATTTGAGGTTCTGTGGGGAATGGCTTTGAAGAAGGTTTTATAGGTCAGAAAGTTTGCATAAAGGTGAACAGACCATACCTGGAATGATTGTGCTGAAGAGAGATACAGCATAGGGCTGTCACTATCCCCTGACTTTTTCTCTGCAGAACTTTCAGCACAATAGTATTTGCATAGCAGTACCAGTATAAACATTGGGAATTGTCAGAACAGCACTTTAACTGTTTTTCATTTAGATAGCTTGGTATTTATAAAAAATAAGTGAGTTGATTGCTGTATAGGATTTGCAGCTCACATTTGAGGCAAGTGAAATGGCAAGATTAAAGTTATCTTTGCTTTGGAGAATAGCTTCAGTTAAACAATTATTCTGTCTTGCTTCATTTTCCCAGTCATTCCCTTGGATAGCAAACTTAAACACTGGCAGTTTTTGTTTAGACAGAGGTAAGAGATTTAGATGTTTAAACTGGGCAAAATTTAGGAAACAGGGAGTAGAGATGTCCATCCCTGAACTCAGTTTCTGCTCAATTACCTGCCAGAAAGGACATTTTTCTTCTGCAGGTTGACAAGAAAACTGCAGGAGTTACAGCTAAGTGTAGTTCTTTCATATTTCTCATCCAGGAGATTCAGAATTGAAATATAATCATTCTCTTAGAGTGCCTCCTTCAGACCCTGATATTCTTTATTGAAGATTGTAGCACCCTCATTTTTCCCCTTCCAAACCTGAATGTTCATTGCTTGCCACATAAAACAATGTGAAAAATGGAAAGAGAACGTTCCTTTTAGGATTTGTGATCGTATTAATATTGCAGATCCCATGGAATCTATCTTCCCATCATTGGCAAAATGTATCGATTCATACATTTTTCAGTGACCAAGAAAAGGTTTAATAGACCTTTAACTGGAGAAGGACTGTGTAATGCACAGGCCTCCTTTAAGGATTATGTCTTGGGTGTGTTGGGATGGCCTTTATCTAAGCTACTGTTTGCTGGTTCGGAGGGTCCTCTCCTCAGTGGTATTTAACTTACCATCCCATTAGGATGCACCAAATTCTACTGTCCTTCTCCAAAGGTTAGAGGCAATGGCATACTAGGCAGCTTTAATGTAATATGTGGTTAATTTACCCAGGCTTACTGAATTTGGAAAGAAATTACTGTAGTCGAAGGAGATGTCTGAGCAGGTACTTCTCTTGCTCTTTATTGTAGAATAAAAGGAAGTCTGATCTCTCTTATGCCATGTGTTGCATGTATGGGCATAGCAGACTTGTGGCCTTCAGACCGATAGGTACCATTTGGGCAGGTAGTGTTTCTGCAAAGCACAACAAGTAAGGAAGAGCCAATAAATTGCTGAATTTCTTTCTAAGGTTGCAGAACTTTCCACAGGCATGTTCATAATCACCGTCCGTGCCTCTTGCCCCAGTTTCCATGGGGCCATCACCAGTAGTGTCCCACTTGGCCAGGCAAACCCAGATAGGCATATTTAGGAATGTTGTATCCCTGGTGTGTCTGTGCAAAGTTGCAAAATCAACTTCCACAGTCTCCCCTTCATGGAGGAGTCTAGAGAAGCAACCACTGTCTCCTCTGCCTCCTGGACTCTCCAGCTCTAATTCTGCCTCTCTAGCAAGGCTTTCCCTTGGGGTCCAGTGTCTGCCTCTCATGGGCTTCCCAGCAGGATCTCCTCAGTCCTCTCCCTGGGGCTGCCCACCTGGCCCCTGTGCACTTCTCTACAAGGCCTGCTTTCTGAGTAACTTTGCCTCCCTTTAGGAGCACCCACGTCCTCTGCTGCCTTATGTTTGCAGATTAAATTTATTCATTTGTTAGATTTCTATCCTGCCTTTCATTCAGAAGCTCAAAGCAATGTACATAGCATTCCTTCCTTCCTTTTTTCCCCACAACAGCCCTTTGAAGTAGGTTGAGTATGACTGGCCCAAAGTTACCCCATGAACTTCCATGGCTGAGGAGGGACTAGCAGCAGATTGGAATGAAGAAAAAGAGCAGTCTTTATTGCTGTGATCTGTTGTTTCTCTCTCACATTTGACGGTCAGAAAAAAGGAGAAAATGTCAGTTTCTGACTTGAATTAATACTTGATTCAAAAACTTTGAGGACAAAAAATTGCCATCCTCGTTCCTCCCAGCTTGCCTTTGGTCTCCGTCCCACCCTCAGCCCTCTCTGGTTCTGGGAGGGGCTCCAGAGTGCTCCTCCCGCTGTCCTGTTTCCCTCTCCCTGCAACTCCTGGGGGAGAGCCAAGATGGCTTACTGCCCCCAGCCATGGGACTCCCCGGGAAGCCTCTCTGCCACCGAACAACCAGGGAGGAGTAAGGGGCAGCCCCCTTCCATAGCTTGGCGAGGGAGCAAAGCATGTGCTGAGGGCAAGGTCCCTTTCTCAAAATGGGAAAGGCTTGTAATTATCTGTCTCCCCCACCCCCTTTTTTAAAACAGTATTCAGGGTTTCAGCAGACAATAATTCACTCTGACTCAGAATTTTAAACTTTTATCATATGCAGCAAAGTCAGAGACCTGGAAGAACATCAGAGAGGAAAGAAAAAAGGAAAGGAGCAATGGCTTTCTGAAGTATGGTCTCAGTCATTGCTCCCTTTCACCAGCACATGTCCACCAGAGCAATTTCACACAGTCCACAAAATAAAATCTATAATTAAGTAGCTTTGCTGATTCTGCTGTGCAAACTATTAGCTCGAGTCCTCTTTTTGCAGGCTGGGTACTTTCCCCCCGTCACCTGGCTTCCAGCCAGCCTCCAAGCAGATTCATTGCCAAGATTCACTCATTCATGCCAGAGGCCACGGGAGAAATGGAGGTTGGCCTCCCCTCTGGCAACAGCCCACCCGATCGGTTCCTCCGCTTTGGATTTTCCCAGGGCTCCATTTTCTCTGCCTGCCACCTGGAGTAAGAAGCCAACCCCCTTGCAGTAACACTTTCCATGTTTGACCCTGGAAATGGAACTTCCCCAATTCCACCAACCCCCATAGCCATGTCTTGCTCCCTGCTCGGAGTTGAATCCTTCACTAGGCCCTCCATTTCTTCTGCTGTAACTCCATTCTGTGTTGCTCTTAACAAAGTGTTATCCCCCACCTGGCAGCAAATCAAATGGCACTTACAGTTTTTGCTCATGGTCATTTCTGGTACTCTTTCAGTCAGAATTCTGCCAACATTTTCCCAGGCTCATTTAATAAACTCATTCCCCTGTAGTTTTTGCATTCACTCTCACTACCTTTCCAGTCACTGGATACAACTGCAGCCTTCACACAAACCTTTTTTTTCCTCTTTTTTGCTTTTATTTATTCTTACAAATTAGGTGTTATAATTGTCAAAAAGAAGAAGTATAATACTAATATAAAAACAAGTTTAAAATGGGCAACACAGATTATAATAGTGATTATAATAGTTGAAAAGAAGCCAGTTTAAATAATAAAATAAGGATAGATTACAAATCTCAGATAGAGAACTTAGAGTACTTGTTTTATGCTCAATTTCTAGTCAAAACGTGTTTATTAAACTTTGTTAGCATAATTAGAATCAGTAAGAAGAAAAAAGAGAAGTAACAAATAGTGAGAATGAACATTAAGAGAATACTGTGGATAGATAACCTAATGCAAAGAGAGGACTCTTTGGAAAAGACCCTGATGCTGGGAAAGATGGAAGGCAAAAGGAGAAGAGGACGGCAGA